ACCATTTCATGCATTTTCTATGTACTCTTTCAATAGTTTCTGCTTTAATAAAACCTCAAACTTCACTCGAAAAATTCAGTATAGATACTACATAAGAATCAAAAAGATTTAACATAATTTTTACAAGCACTTCTAAATCTCTCGTTATGGTAAAAAGCTTTGTCTGCTAATATTTTAGTTACATTCATTAGATCCACCACTAGAAAAAACAATACCTAAATAATTGAAACATGAAAAAATTTCTAATATTTCCCCATCATAATATAGATGTTCATCTCTATTCATTCTCCCCACTTTCTTGAAAATAACAACCTTTGTTTTTTTAACATTCACTTTTAATTTCCACTTCTGACAATAATCTTTTGACTAATTTAATGTTTGCTGTAGCCCGTCTGCCGTCTCTGAAAAAAAGTACGGCGTCGTCAGCAAATAGTAATAGGTAGATAGATAACTGATCTAATGTTAAACATGAATTACTGTCATTTTGTAAAAACACCTCTATATCATTTACGAATAGTGAGAACAAAATGGGCGAAATTATCTCCCCTTGTAATAGACCGACATCACAATTGAAGAAATCTGACAATGTATCAATATGTCGAACACATAATTTAACCTCATTATACAAAGATCTAATAACATTAAAAATTCTTCCATTTACACCATTCTTTATTAATTTGACCCAAAGGGCATTTCTATATATTGAATCAAAGCATTTCATTAAGTCTACAAAAACAACAATATAATTTCTTTTTTTGTTTAAGCTGTCTTTCAATAAAAGAATGTAAGAGAAAAATAGCATCAACTGTACTGTAATTAGATTTAAAACCAAACTGTGCATCAGTGAGAATATCATTTACAAGTGCCCATTTTTTCAAACGTTCATTTATTATTACAGTAAATAATTTAGCAAAACAACTTATCAAAGTAATACCTCTGTAGTTTGTAGGTAAACTTGAATCGCCCTTTTTAAAACAGGTATTATCATGCCGCTTGACCATGATTTAGGAAAACATTGTTTATCTAAAATATAGTTAAATAAAATTTCCAAAGGTTTATCTAAAATATCGATTCCCTCTTTGAAGTATTCGTACATAATATGATCGAACGAACAAGCTTTATTCGTCCCCAAAAGTTTAACTGCATTTCTTATTCTAGTAACAGTAAACGGTGCATCTAACTCATCAAATGTAGAATTTATGTTTTCACAATTATCATAGTTATTTAAAAAAGTTTCTATTTCAACATCTTCTTCTATTGAAAACTCTGATGTAAGGTTCTTAAAATGATTAAAAAATTCTTCCATTTCAATACTATCATCTAAACAATTTGCCTTTTTCTTACTAAATAATCTCCAAAAATCTTTTGGCTTTTTATTCCTCATTTCTTTTAAAGTTGTTGCTTGTTTTCTATTAAAATTACTTTTTACTTTTCTACAATGGTACTTATAATCTTTCTTTTTGCAATATAACATCTCTTTATTTTCGGCAGTTTTGTTAGCATTGAATTGCGATACTGAATTTTTATAAGCAATATATTTTTGTTTACAACTTTCATCAAACCATTTATTGTTTATATTATTATTACTATCGCAGAAAAACGTGTTATATGAGATCGAACGACATGTTTCAAAATAAACATTTCCTTTATCAGTCAGGAATTTAGTAAATATATCTACCATTTCGTTAGGATCATGGTTATTTTGTTTGCATTCATATAATTTTTGACAAAGTAGTTCAACGTCGCACGAAATATCGCGAATAAATTCATCTCTATACTCAGGATTCCATTTATAAACCGTGCGTTTACGTGGTTCTGCCTCAATCGGTGAAGTCATAATTTTTAATGAGAATGAAACCGGAGTGTGATTTGAGTGCGTTGTTAAATCATGAACGCGAAAATTAGTAAATGTTTTCAAAATTGCATTTCTTAGTTAACAGGTAATCAATTACGCTGTTTCCGTTATATGTATAGCAGGTTGTGGTTTACCGATATTATAATCCATATCTAGTCGTCCGTTTACAATCCGAATTTCTGTGGATTTACAAAGATCAAGTAATTGTTCCCGAACCGGTTTTGATACGTGATCTGTTGACGCTCGCGGTAAATACGAGTCAATGTCTGAATAACCATGATCCGGTAACTGTATATCATCATGATTTATGTAATCGGGTTTTAAACCTGTCCTTGAATTTGTATCCCCACAAAACATATACACTCCCTTTATTTTGATAAAAAAGTACATCAGTTTCTAATCTTCTAAATAAATCACAGTCATAACATATTATGAAACAGGAGAATTTTCTGGAGCAATGTATAAAGAACATATATAAACATCATTAGGCAACATAAAATATTCTTTATCTAATTTCAACCACATGAAGCAATCTACATCGTTTTTTACCAATTTCACACCTTTAACGATAGAATTTTTAACATATGCTAATATACCACCGCTGCTTCTCTTAGCTCTTTTATTTTGATATTTTCTGAAAGAATGATATAACTTATACCCATTTAATTCTATTTTTGATGATTTATTTGTCCATGTTTCGCTTAAGAATATGATTTCAAAATTTGATATAAAATTCGTGAAATCAGAGTTAATTGTTTTTTATTTGAGATAAGCCTTCTATATTCCATGAAACACATCTGATTTCTGCTCCGTGGTGGTCCTATCTAAGACCGGAAGTCTCGTCGTTGTATAAGCGTCCGTCAATGTAGAGTTTGTCAGTTACTAGGTAGGATTCCTTCCCAGCCTTCCTTGCGTCTAACATTATCGGAATCAGCTTCCGGCGGCGTTCCATAACTTCATTCGGAAATTGTTGGCTAATACCGTAGGGTCTATTCAATTTTTTAGCGTCCATGCGCACCCTTTCTCTGTCTGGGAAATAAGCAAATTTTGCTACAATTGGTCTATTGTTTGAAGGCTTGAATTTACCTATACGATGAGCTCGGTGAAGTTTAATCTCTTCTGTGGCATTTTCGTGACCTAGCTTCTCTTCTATTAACGATAAAATTATCAACACCTCCGCTTTTCCCGCACTTTAATGATGAAATTGCTTTTTCAGTTTCTGATATTGTAAACTCTTTATCTAATTGTAAAATAACATTCTCTTCTAAACAAGCCTCAGCCAAATTACTCTCTGTTTCATCATTGCTAAATACATTGTCTACTGAAAAAAGGGTTTTAAAAATTGTTGGCTAATACCGTAGGGTCTATTCAATTTTTTAGCGTCCATGCGCACCCTTTCTCTGTCTGGGAAATAAGCAAATTTTGCTACAATTGGTCTATTGTTTGAAGGCTTGAATTTACCTATACGATGAGCTCGGTGAAGTTTAATCTCTTCTGTGGCATTTTCGTGACCTAGCTTCTCTTCTATTAACGATAAAATTATCAACACCTCCGCTTTTCCCGCACTTTAATGATGAAATTGCTTTTTCAGTTTCTGATATTGTAAACTCTTTATCTAATTGTAAAATAACATTCTCTTCTAAACAAGCCTCAGCCAAATTACTCTCTGTTTCATCATTGCTAAATACATTGTCTACTGAAAAAAGGGTTTTAAAATGTTCTAAAAAATCCTCTTTGATAATATCACTCGCTGTTGATTTTTGATTTAACGTTTTTCTTTCCAAAATGTTTTGGTTGATGTTTCGCTAAATATTGTAGATTTTGCTTTCGATTATATTGTATTTTGCACGTGCTATGTTTTTTTGAAATTTTATAAGATTGCGTTTAGTTTTTTAACAACATTGTGCTTTCAGAAGATTTGTTTTTCCTATAATATCGATTAGCTATTCTAAACTCCCGCCGTGCCACCTCGCAGTCATTGTTAAACCAGGGACTTTTATATTTTCTTTTATTTTCATGTTTCTTATTTTTTTCAATTGAACACTTCTTACCAAAAATATTAAATGCTTTGTCGTAAAGAATATTTGATATTTGAAATACACCATCATTAACACCGATTTCCTGCGATACAATATTGCTTACAATATTATCTATATTACATAATTCTGATAAAATAGCAGATCTATAACAATCAGTTTTATTTTCATCCCATACGATTTTATCATAAAAACAACTATTATTACAAGAACATAAATTTGTACAAGGATTTACAGTTATATCTATTTCAATAGGACAATGTGTCGATATAGAGTATAAATCGTGAACTATAAAGTTTGAAACAAGGGGGAACAACTCGTGCGAGCATAATGCATAATCAATCAGGCTATTGCCGTTCGGTGAAAGGTTCGTGTAACTACCAATACCGGCATCGTCACCGACCCTACCATTTATAATACATATATTGCTACTTTGACATAATTCTAATAATCTGTTCCCGTGTGTATTGATAACTGTATCCATAGAAAATCTATGGGGAATGTTAGGATTATTATCACAATCATCACTGTGTTCAATAGTTGAAATAAATTTCTCAAAATATGAACTACTTTGAACGTAGTCTAATTTACTACCACATCTAGAGTTTAAATCACCCATTACGGCTAATTGACCTATTTGAGAGTATTTACGAATACCTTTTTCTAAGACTTCAAAAAAACCCTCTTCATGTAAAGTATAATATATGGAATTACTAGGTGGTATGTACAAGCAGCATAAATAAATATCAGTTTGTAATTTAAAGAACATTTTACATAGTTTAATCCACATAACTCCACTAGTATCTGTTTCTATCACTGAGATACCCTCTTTAAATTGTTTTCGGTAAAAAAGACAAATTCCTCCATGACCCCTTTTTGACTTCAAACTTTCAGGCCTTGGTACTGTCACACATTCAAATTCATCTATTTGATATATCTCATTATCTTTTTGCCAAGTTTCGCATAGAAAAATAATGTCAAAGTTAACAACAAAATTAAGAAAATCATCGTCCTTAATACAATTTTTAAGGCCCTCAACGTTCCATGACAAATAATTGTATTTATTTTTAACTCAAACTAAACAGAATGACTAATCGATTTTTTCTCAGTATGTGACAATGGATTTTTTGGCAAAAACTGTCAGAATAGATGCAACAACAACTGCTTATGGTCAAAGGCCAGTGCATTATGCGATAACGTGGACGGCACATGCTTAAATGGCTGCAAAGAAGGATATCATGGATCCCAATGTGACATTGGTATGCTGTTTCAATCTTATTTCTAATTTTGATAAAATTTGATCTTACATGTCTTACAAAGCTGCATATTTTACAGATTGTAATATCAATAATTATGGTTAGTTGTTTTTATATTAAAACTAAGCTGGATATTCTGTCGGTGTCTGTTTATGATTGGTACGAGAAATGACTTGAATCTTGAGTAAAATAGAAATTACGGACTACCTAAAGAAAACCTAAGAAGAACTGAAAATGATGAAGGCTCGGATAGGGCCTTATTTTGACTGAGTTGAGACACCGTCTATGACCCTCGCACTGGTTTAAACAAAGTAACACATTTTAAACACTTTTGGTATTAAAATAATGTTTAAATTTTGGTTGTCATATATTGAAGAATGTAAAGATGGGACATACGGTAATTCCTGTGTATTCAACTGCAGCCAGACTTGTGATGGAATTTGTAATAAAATGAACGGGACGTGTAATCAGTGCCTTCAAGGCTGGTCAGGAGATTTCTGTGACAAAGGTAAGTTATATTATTGAAACTTAAGTATATTTTAAGTTTTCCTGATTGATTAAAAACAAGAGAATTTAGGAAAGCTTACAGTACGCTTAAAATAACAAAATAAAACACGGAACAAGCTCTGTTTAATTACACCTGTTCGTGAATGGTATTGATACATGCAAGTTATCGTCCATGCCCTGCAGCACCGACTTAAGCGGATTCAAATATGACACACTCATATTTTGTACAGTTTTTCTGTATTTTTAGCAATACATATGAAGAAATAGATTTAGTATGTAATGCATTCTTTTCTATTACTAAATGACTTTAATTCTTATTCAGCGTTGATTGAAGATTTTTCACCATTCACTGGCGACACCTCTGGAACTGCCGGAATAGTTGGTGCTTTGACAGTACTTGTTATTTTAGTATTGTTGATAGTTCTCGCAGTTTTCATATACAGAAGGAAACAAAATACTGAGTAAGGACGACACATAATTGATATGATTATTTATCTAATTTATACGATTATTTGTTTATTGATGCATTCGAATATTGTAATAAAGTAGTTGGTCAAATTTGCATACCTTTTAAATATTTATCTTCAACGTATTTTAATCAAGGAAAACATTGTCTTGGCAAAAGCGCGTTTTGATTTACACAATACCTTAATTTCTTAATTTATGATATCATATGTTTTACAAAATATTTGTGGTACATTTAATTGTATATGGACGAAAATGGTTATTGGTTAAACATAAATGGTTAAACATAATTCAAGAAAACTATAATGTGAATGTTTCACATTGTGGTTTTAATTACGTTACTATGGTGGATAAAAATTGTCTACTGCTGGTTTGACGACATGTAAAAAAAGTTTGATACGCATTCTTACACCTTTACACTATCGTCTTATCAAACAGATAATGCAGTCAAGATACAATATCACGCGATACATGCACGACTTAAAAATAATGCTTACACGTCAAATAACGTCATATATTACGTCTACACTCAACATATTTATAAAATTCTCTTTTTATAAGCATATTAGAATATATAAAGATGTTATTTTTCTCGCATTGGCTGTCGTGATTATAATCCTGCGCATATGGACACACACCGTGCATTAATTTACGACAATATACTCAAAATAGGCGAAGATAAATAGAAAAATCACAACAAAATGTCATTCTGTAACTTTTGTCTTGTCTTGCTGTTTAGCTTCCTGGAGAGATATATTTTTGTCTTTTCATTTCAAAGAAGGAGAAACAACGAATTAACAACTGTTACCGAAACCAATCGAGATATTAAAGATGACAGGGCAAATGTAAAACTGGAAGAACCAAGCAACAGCGTGTCGTATGTCAATGCATCGGAGCTGGTGCATAAAATGCGGGAAATCAATGCAGTATCAAATGGTATGATTTTGAATTGATAAGTTTCACAACTGCCTTCTAACTAAGTATATTCGAAATACCCAGCAGATAAACACTGATGCAGTTAGATAAAAGCTTTAATACAAATGAGAACAAAGCAATTTTGTTTCCATTTATTATAAGGATGGGTCTGTTTATTAGTTACGTTTTGAAATAAGCATGATAAGCGACATTCAAATTCGTTTGGTAGGAGAATTTAATTCAGAAGCTAGAGGTAGATTAACATTTGGTTGCAGTGTTATAAGTCATTATTACATGACGTACCTGCATTTGTGAAATAAATATAATTCAAATACTTTAAGAAACACTAACTGTTTCTGTTCTCAGATAAAGGTAATGGTAAAAGTACGTTTATTGAAGAAAGAAAGGTAGAGGTCGAATATAGTATCCCTAAAACTGCACAAGGAGTTCTTTTGTCAGAGTTTGAAACGTATGTGAGATCTGGACTAGCAAACACAGATATTTTCTTTCAACAGTTTCAGGTAAAATAAATTCATAAAGATGATATAGTGTTATTGAACATTATGATTTAGATATATTTCACTGAAACATAACCAGATAAAATACAAAAGTACAGCACTATTCGAGTAAATATAGAGCATCTCTTTTGGCCATGCATGTAAAATAAATATAAATAATGTTGTTAAAACTTTTGCCTTTTTCAATACGAGTTACTTTTAAGTATACAAGTATTGTTCGTCTATAATGCATCAAAATTCAATAATTTCGACCCTGAAAACTTTTAGGATTTGAAATTCTTCTCTATATTTTTAATGATTTTAATGATTGACTACTTAAGTTGTTGTTCAAACACACTTTGTTCCTAGACTGACTATTTCAGTTGTGAAAGGAAAAAATACTGTATCAAATTAAATATTTTTATTTTATAAAGTTAATTAACCTGAAAATTTAATAAGTTTACATAAACTTATAATCGATTGTCGAAATAGTTTTGTCAAAGATTGTTTGTGTTATTAAACAAGTATTAATACAGTTCATATGGTAAACAAGATAACATGTTCGTGAATTAAATATTATGATGCGTTTTAAGACGTGTTTTAACCGTTCAGCAATAGTTTCGTGCAATGTCCGACTCACTTTGTAGGCAATAATTTATACTAGTATCACATATTCTTTTTCAAAATTGAAACAATTTCTTGTACAGAATATATAAAGCTTTATACACTTTAAGTTTTCATTAATGAATGGTTTAAGATTATGGATATGTTAAAAGGCTACACAGGTTGTTGTAACTTAAACAATATTGCTCCCAATTTATGCATAATTATATATCTACTTTTTTAAATAAACATTTATGGAAACTTTCAGCAAATACCATACGGCATGCAGTATGCCTCTGATGTTGCCACGAAGCCAAAGAATCATTGCAAGAACAGATATAAAGCTATGTATGCATGTAAGTATTTTTCAAACAGATTATTTCAACAGAAAACGATTTTTAAATATTGTTAGACTGGCGAACATTGTTATTTTTGTAGTTCCTATTTCACATAACATAATATCATCATTTGTTAAGTTCTGTAATACATGTATCCAACATTTTTTGATACACAGTATTTTGGTTTGTACATTGTTCATGTAACTACATGCTGGTATTCAGAGCGGGACCGTTTGATTAAACATATTGTTTTTATAAATATTTAATAAGGTGGTGTGAAATCTATGGAAAATACTTGCCGCGTGTGTTAATAAAAAGTATACTTCTTTGATATATCAATCAGCATTCTTGTTAAAACACGTGAAAAAGAACGTTCTTCACTGGTGGAACGAATGCGATTGTTTCTAACACGTTTCAAACATATTCATTCGCTCTTTGTTTGCGGTGAATATACCAATGGCTTTCTTGTTTTGAATATACCTATGGCTTTCATGTTTTAACCATTCTCATATTTAGCGCTTTTGGTGTCTTTCGTGTTCCACACAATATAGATAGTTTCATATTCAATATAACCATGGCACAATACGAAAGCCCAGAATTAATTAACCAATATAAGAGCATCTGATTTTTCTATCAATATTCCTGTCCTTGTCGTCATAGTAAGTTAACCCCAGATTGAACATGCTCTCTATTTATCTCCGACAGAAATTGCGGTAACTGGAGTGCGGGTAACTTATACCTGCACTCTAGTAAACGCGCCATGCATTTTTGGGTACACAATTTAATTCTAACACGTTTTCAATATCAAGATACAACTGTAGAGCGAAAACATGATAATAACTTTATATCAACTAGTATTAAATGACTATGTATAAAGAGATACACAGAGATAAAAGATTATTTATATTTTCGTTTGATTTGATTTGATTGAAACTACACTCTATTTATAGCTTTAAAAATGCCAATTGTTATTTACATTACACCAAGTGAAGAGATAAGCACTTAGTATTAAGGATATTAAGATATATTGTTTTTAGTTATTAGGATTATTATTATTATTATTTTCATTTGGCAAAGATTGCCATGTTTGAAGACCTTTAAAGTTACAATTGACTGATTTAAAATATTATATGGTTCACAGATTCACATACTGTAAGTGATCGCCATTGTATAGTTATATCACGTTCCTAATTTACAAGAACTAGGAGTTTTACTTACATACCACTACTTTAAATAAATGAGCGACGATTTTTTTGGTTAAATTTTATTATATTCAGCAGTCTTTTCTATACAGTTAATGAAGTGTCTGTCATTTCTTTCTTCAGATGATCATTCGAGAGTGATACTGCGAACACTTCCTGACCAGCCAGGCTCTGATTATATCAATGCATCTAAAATAATGGTAACCTAATCATATCTTAATCATAGCATTTGTTGTTTCGAATAAACAATAAGAAAATATAAAATGTAGTTCATTTCACTTTCTTTTCGTTAAAACAATTAGGTCAAAAGTATCTTTTTTTATCAAGTTTAGATATAACTGATATTCCAAACCTATAACCACTATTCATATTTGAGGTTCTTTTAATTGGAACATGTTAACATAATTAAAGACTTCGTTCACTTTTTTATTTCATAATTGTGATCAAAATAACATCAAAACATCTAAATAACATAACCGAAAAAATAGATTCCACTGAATAAACAAAAAGAATTATAAAGATTTTTCCTATCCAGAACTTTAAATACAAAGGTATGAGCAGTTTTCTGTCGGGTTTATTGAGTTTTAATGTTACAGTACTGTAATGATTCGAATAACTCATGTTTGTTGTTGATGATATGTTTTCAGGGCAATACTGGTAAGGTGTCGTACATCGCAGCCCAAGGTAATAATAAGTAAAATGTTATGTAATTATCAACAATCTGTATAATAAATCTACATACATGAATGTTCGATGAGTTGAGTTTTGCATTTAAGTTAATGGAGCACAATTCCCTATTTCCCTCACCTATATAGTGTAATGTTAGTAACTGGAAAGGTCCTTAACTTTACATTGATATGCATGATATATGATATAATTATTTATTGTATCAAGGAAGAACTTTTTAGAATTGTAAATTAGCACCTTGAAATTAAGTATACTTTACAGGTATATATAGATAAAAGTAAATAATTGAGCCGCGTCATGACAAAACCAACATAGTGTGTTTGCGACCATCATGGATCCAGACCAGACTGCGCAGTCTGATCAGGATCCATTCTGTTCGCTATCAGTTTCTCTACTTGTAATAGAGTTGGTAGCGAACAGCATGGGTCCTGATCAGGCTGCGCGGATGCGCAGGCTGGTCTTGATCCATGCTGGTCGCAAACGCACTATGTTGGTTTTGTCATGACGCGGCTCATATATCTGTTTTTAGGGCCAATCTCGAGTACCCTCGGTGACTTTTGGAGGATGATATGGGAGCAAACTGTTCGAACAATTGTTATGCTAACGAATCTTACAGAAGAAGGGAAGGTTAGTGTGAAACAAAAAAAAAACATCTAAAATGATTAAACTACGTTTTATACTTTTATTTCTTCGCTCATGATACCGTACAAATACTTAAAAAGTACACCAATATTTTCAAAGTTTGTTGGATTTTTTTAATTACCTATTTACATGTATGGGTACTTAAATAAATGAAGATAACTCGAAATTTTAAATGCAACTTTTCACCACGTGGTTGAGCACTACTGGTCTACCGTTCACTTTAAAATGGAGCAGGAAGCTACTTTTAAATATGTTTTATTAGTTAATTTACCTCTTTTAAAGCTAAAAGGAATATTCCGAAGACTTAAAATATTCTTCCTTGAAATGTTTTTACCAAAATATACCCATTAGGAACGATTTGTGAAGATAAAACTGATTCTGATTCGGATGTTTAGGGGAATATTCCTCTTTGTATTTTTTACTCTGTTGATGAAACAAGATAAGGAGAATAATACTCTTCAAATGAAAGTTCAATTTACTCTTAACACATGTCATTGTCAATCCCTGGTAAAAGGACTTTTGGAAATTTCTACTTCATTTTGCACCCTTTCATACATGTATTACTATTATTCAAAACATAATAAAACATTTAAATCATATATAACTTTGAACAGTGGATACTTAATAAAAAAATGCGTGTATAAAGCATTTTGTGATTTAGTACAAGGAAATTAATAGATAAATGAGATAAAAAATTTCATAAAAGAACAGAAAATAATTATTCTTTGTCAGTAAGTGAATCAGGAATATATTTTAATATCAATTATGTATAGATGAAGTGTCTTAAGTACTGGCCGGAAGCTGGAGAATTTGTTGAACACGGAAACATTGTTGTTTTGTCAGAGTTAGAGGATGTTTTCGCGGAGTTCACGATTCGACGCTTAAAAATACATCAGAAGGTGAGTGTGACTCATTTGTTGTGTAACTTAGTTGAGTAATACCTCAGATGTCGGTAAACGTGACATGTTTATGAGTAATCATTAGCAGTTTGTGTGAACAGTGTCATATTATTCGTGCTCCTTTTCTGTTCAATGTATTGTCTTTTTAGTAATTGTATTATCCAAGACTATTGTATTATATTACTAAATTCGTTTTTTTTTTGGCGTTCGTGGCCGAGGGGTAAAGGTCGTTGACTTCCAACTACTTGCTCTTGCTATTGGTTCAAATCCCATATGAGACTGAATTCTTCCGTGTGTGAGGTAGATATCCAGCTAGCAAACGGTATGTCAGTGGTTCTACTCAGGTGCCCGTTCGTGTATAAAATAATGCACGTCCAGGAACCTGAGGCACTATCATACATTGTATATGGTCTGATTTGTTTTTAAAAGGGTTTAAATATTTGTCTCAATATTCAATTATTAGAACAAACCTGACAGGGCAAGAACTTTGGGTCATTTCCATTTCACTGCTTGGCCGGACAAAGATGTGCCAAGAAGCACGTCATGTTTGTTACATTTCTGGCATCAAGTCCGAAATCATGATGAAAAGAAGGCACGACCTTGGCTAGTCCACTGCAGGTAAGACAAGATATTCAAGATATTTCATAATAAAAATGTAATTTCTGATATGTAGAACTCCTATTTTCCAGAATTTTATACATGTTTGAAAAATCTCGTGGATCAGAATGTTTAGCTATACCGATGAAGAACTATGGGGATATTCTAAATAACTATCGCAAGAGGCTCATTTTATACCAAATTCTAAATCGCAACTCGTATAATTTGTATATATCGTCATTATTTTTATCATTACTTTTTATCATTACATTTATTATTATCATTATTATTATCTTTATCATTATTGTTACACGAGCGGGTATAAAGGATTAGCAAACTAATTTATGTCATGTTGCTTTTATAAGCACCTTACACTGGTTGCCGACTCAGACCGGAATCTTTGATTTGAGGATATCTGTTTACAAAAGTAACATAAAATTCTAATACTTTTAACGTTGAAAATATCGTTGCTAGGGATAAGCTGCTTACGCTCTCTACAATTTCTATGCTACGAAGTAAGGTTCATACGAGAATATAGTTTTGATAATGCAATGCTTTTGTAGTGCCGGAGTCGGTCGAACTGGAACATTTATCGGACTAGACGTTCTTTGTGATATGGGAAAGGACTATGGGTTTGTAGATGTATTCAAGTGTGTTGACGACCTTAGAAAACAGAGAGTCAATATGGTGCAAACAAAGGTGTATTGTATTGTATATTTAACTTTAATCTGATAGAAGTATTGAGTGGATGGTGTCATACTATTTCTTATGATAAAAAAATCACATTATATTTATAAATTATCTCAAGTAACAATCAAAATAACTAATGTATATTCATTTAGGCAAAATGTGCAGATATTGTATGTTGCGTAATATATGCGGACATTTTGTAACTTATTTGTAATCCTTAATACAATGATTGCTAGTTGTTTTAATAATAAAACATTATTATAAATATGGTTTGTAAGAGCAGAGAAGATATTGATTAAATTTGTAACATGATAATTATGCAAATTTGCTCAAGATGATGACAAAACTAATAGACATAAAACAGATATAATCAAATACAATTTTCAAAGTTGAGACAGTCGAACCCATCTATGGTTTCCTGATGTAAATGAATGTTTACAATGTTTGTATGACATATTACAGAATCAGTACAAGTATTTACACTGTGCAGTGTTAGAAGCACTTGTATTGCCATCAGAGCCTGCACATATGGACAACTTTCATGCCATCTACAATCATCTGAAGATGACTGATCCGGAGGCGGGAAAAACATCGCTTCTGATGCAGTACGAGGTACACTTAGATACTCATAATATCGCCAACCGGTCTTAGTCAAAACAGTCATAATTCTAAGTAGGTCTCGTTAAACCCCAGTCACACTAGAGCTTACGATTACTTGCGACCACCGGTGACTTGTAAAACTGACGATCATCAGCGATTGTCTGCGACCAAAACCATTTTTGCACAGATAAATTTACTTTTGCGAGTATCGTAAGACAAGTCATCATTGACAATCGCACGACAGGTCATAAGTAAACGTACGATGGTCTCAAGATTGCCTGGGATTACTTACGACTACCCGTGACATAACATGCGATCACCTACAACTTGTCGTACGACCATCACACGATTACTAAAGACTACTTAAGATTAGCAGTGACTAGTGGCAATTTGTAAAGACTGTCGTAAGATTGTCGCACTTCCGAACGACCATCGTGCGACAGCCTTAAGACCTTTTAAGATCACTAGCGACCTGTTTGATCGCAAGGAGGTTTTTGTGCAAGCTCAAAAACCTCTCTACGACTGAAATTGGTCGCGGGACCTATATAAGATAAACTGCGACTGTCAAAGATCACCGATGACCGTCGTAAGACGTTTTAAAGATTGTCCGCGACCAGAGGTCACTGGTGATCGTGAACTGGTCTTCACTGGTCGTAAGCTCTAATGTGACTGTGGCTTTAGTTGACATTGTTATTGAGCCTTAACATATTTCATGACAGCGTCCAACATTAGACAGTTTCCGTCATTTTGTATTAACAAGGTCGAATATCATGTGTATCTTTCAAATACAAATATGAAAAAAATATGTCATAATATTTAATCTAATAATGGCAGAACATAAGTCCGAAGTATACATAAACTTTAACAGATTGTAATTTTTTTTCAAATCAAATATGTTACTTAATTTATAATTTACTCATCTATCACATAATTCGTAGTAATTCAACACCCAAAAATTCGAAAAAACATTTAACCGCCGCGCTGATTATGTGTTTTCCCTATATGTATATTTCGAAAATGTTTTAGATTTCTTTTTCCAAAACTACAAGGGCTATAGCTTATATATTTAGCATGTAGCATTGTCTAGTAAACCTCTATTAAGATAATCCAAATTAAAGTTTCAGGTTCAACATTGCCCTGCGCCAGGAAGTCATTGCTTTTCTTCATATTATAGTTTAATGACAAAAGGGAAACAACTCATATTAAAATGTATTTTATACATGTGTAGATGTTATGCTATTTTTTAAAAAAAAAAGGAATTCACATTTTGGAGTCGACCTCTTGCAAGAGAGATGTTTGTTTTCAGAATATTTATGCAATTATTTGAGGTCATGATCTCTAACAAAGGAGGTATTTGATTTGCTGTGATATTTAGAAAATGATTTGAGCACATTTTAAGGACGTTATGATTCCCACTATGTATATAATGATTATTTTAAATCGTAAATGTGTATATATATTTTCAGAAATAGTAAATGCTTAATTGAAATAATATCATTTACGATAAATAACTGTAATTGTATTTTTATATTTTTAAACTTATTACAGCTATTTAGTACACTAGTATATAACAAAGTTTTTATCAAGTAAGAAAACTTGATTTATATTTGAAACCAGTTATTATACTATGGCCTTCATATCTTAACATTAGACTTATCTCTACATTGTCTGTCATTTGACGTGCTGACATATGACCTTGACCCCCGCATGTATTAGACGCCAAAGTTCCGAAACAAACAAAAAACGCATCTGCTACATCTGTGTCCACTTTGGTGTTGTATTTATGCGGTGGTATAGCATTTCTTTACAAGTGCCATCCTATTTTTTCTATTTCTATTATTGTTTATTTAAACAAGGCAAAATTATTATTTCATCAATTGACAGACCGAATATTATTCAATCAGGTAATTACAGCAGAATTTTGGTATTAATTAATGGCGATTGGATTATCAGATGTCTTAAATGTGGAATAAAACATAAGAATAAAGAATAAAACAAAAACTTAGACTAAAAGTATAGTTTATTAAATTTGATTAGCGATGTGATCTTTATTGTTAATTGCGATAAAAAACAGAAATCGTTCTTTAAAACAACATACTTACTCGTGGTTTGGTCTTAATTGGAAATGCTCTTAAATAGGGATCCCAATATATGTTTTATAAAATTGTAATGTTATTCTTTGTAGATAAATAACCCTTGTTCCCAATGAAATACTTGTTATTTTGTTGATCTATTTTCTGTCATTTGACGTATTATGTCGATTTGATAAATTAGGTCAAAACTTTAAATTCTAATATAATTCAATAAATTAATATTTCCGACATTGCCCTTTTGATCGTTTTGGTTTAGAACATTGAAATGATAAATCATTCTCATTTATCGGTTTCAGACGTTGACGAATGACTGTGAAGTTATTACTAGTGTTGAAGATCCGAATGAGGACAAATATGGAGTAGCAAAAAGGGATGAAAACAAAAACAAAAATAGATTTGACGATATTCTTGCTCGTAAGTAACATATTGTTACTTATGATTGACAATAAAATATTGCATTCTAGAAGTGTGTTTTTTATGAGTGTAGTCTTTATTCTTATAATTCGTATACTTATTCCATGCTTTGTTCATTTCTTCTTTTTCTTTTTTCTTTCTTAAATTTTGTTTGACACAGTCTATGTGGCTTTATGATTTTTCGGTTTTGTCAATTCTACTCAACAAAATACTATTATTTATTATATATCTTATAACTCAAAATTTTGAAAGATTTCTCACATGAAAAAATGCAAAGTCCCTGAAGGGATTCGAACCCACACTAATGAGTGGGAAGGGGTTTGAATAAAAGTTCACGACGTGAACCATTCTGCCATAGATGCTTCTAAACGTATACAATACTAAACTGCAAAAATAAATATCATTTTAAAGTTTTTCTTTGAATAACATGTAATTTGCTTTGTTAAACAATGTCATGATTGACAAAAAAGTACACATATATTTTAAAATCACCGTTATGATGTGTCATTTTGTTATGATTTTGTTTGTCTTTACGGCTTTCAGCTGGCGAGTGTCGACCATTTCTCCTAACAAAAGTATCTGGCTGTACAGACTATATCAATGCTATATTTATCCCGGTAATCAGATACACTGTCTTTATATTTCTTTTTTTCAACACGATTTATATGAATTTTATCTACTGTTTTGAAAGGCATCCGGTTACTCTGACAATGTAACTGTAGCAATTTATTCAGATACAGAATGATGTTTCTATCATGTTAATGCAGTTAAAGAAACAGAGAGTTTGATAGTTTGGAAATGACAGTGTCAGATAGCATGATTTTATTCTAACCTAAAAGCAAACATGCGATAAAAGCAATAATAACTTTTGTTTTTCCATAACCGATAAACAAACAGGGTCTGCCCAACCGAGAATGCAACATTTCGATTTTATTATTGTTTTCGTTTTGACAAAAAGATGGTACTGTTATATACGCCTTGATGGTATTAGAAAAAATAACATCAAATGCCATTAACAAATACTATGGGAATTTTTAAATACATTTGTATTGATAGTGTATTTTGCAATTTAGATTTCTGTTATTCATTTGGTACGAGATATGATATGATAACACTTATTCATAACACTAGTTTAATATCATACTACATGTTTATAAAACTGACTAGTTTACATGACACGTTTTGAATATAAACTACATAACCCAAATTTACTTTATTTATTTAATTATATATTGTAATATTAAATAAAAGTCAGAATTGAACTTGTATACTACATATCGATCTATTGTTATGAACAGGGCTACCGTGACAAATTTGGATATATCCTCACACAGACGCCGCTACAGTCTACTGCGATAGACTGCTGTCGCCTGGTATACGAACAAGAAATCAAAGTCATTGTAACGTTCCAGGAATACAGCAAGAAAGATGTAAGTGTCCGTGGGTCTCATGTTACGACATTCAGTAAATTCTTAAACATTTTCTTTTCATTCATTTATCATCCCGTCAACATTAAAGCAGCACGTCTCAAGAGTCGAGCTTATTTTAATGAAAATTATGAAAATGCATTTATTTAAATGTAAAATATTGTGAAATAAACAAAGAAGTTAATTTTCACATTGTCAGCGGCACTAACAACCGATGTAGATTAAAAATATGCAAAAATAGCCCTTGCTGCGTGAGTAACGCGGTTGAAATACTATGAAAATAAATATTGCAAAAACGGTCATGAATCGCACATAACTTGGAAAATATTACTTTTATCTGAATATTTTTACCTTTTTAAAATCACAGTACTTTTTGTTGTCACGTTTGAATTTTTAAAAGTATTTTGGCTAATATTGAGTCAAACAACTTTAAATCTTGTTGATCAAAACCTGTTATATTCAGTGGTGTAATTGAGATGATAAGCTTATTTTCTTTACATAAATAATAAAAAAATGTTATTGTCCTACCTTAATATATTAAAGGACAGTTATGCATTTTGACATTCATCTCTCAAAAAAGATGGGAAAAGACGTTTTCTGTATGAGTAGATAATTCCGTTATGTAAAAAGAAAGTAATGTACTCGACATATGAGTATTTCCTATATCGGATATGTTTATTCATGTATTTAGGTCGGAATTTATCTACCAAATGAAGGGACTGCAAACTTTGGACCATTCACTATGAAATTCCTCTCGGAGAAAGAATTGACTTATTACACCAAGAGGAACTATAAGTTGCTTTACAAGTCAGAGGTTTGTTTTAGTTATTTATCAGACAGCAGATAATATAAATAACATGTTACATTACATATGTTATCTGCAGTCATCTTGAAATAAAAAGAAAATCCGTGATTAAGGAGATTGTGAACTTCGGTACTCATGGTTGCTATAATAATCTATCGTCGGAACCCACGGTACGCATTCTGTATAATATTATACTACATTTACCGATATTGGCATACAATAAATAGCCTAGGTTATCATGGATGATAATAATTTTGCACTTACTTGTCATTTATACGTATATTGACAACAACATAAAATAGACGATAAATTGCTATAAGTATTTATCAAATTTGATTTGTTGCCTGTCTGTTTTGGTCTGTCTGTCGTTGTTTTGTTGGGTTTTTATCGTTACCTGGACTTCTTCTTCATGTGTTGTCGTCTTAAAATGATTCCAATACGTTTAGGTCTAGATTATCAACTCATCTGATATAGAACTATAGATAAGGTGTTTAGTTAATGCCACTAAAGAACTGTCGAAATAAAAATCAAATTGATAAGCTTTGGTTTTCATTCTTTTCTAATTTGATATTGCTCCCGTTCGTTTTTTATATTGAAATACTTGTTACATAATCTTTATTAATACTTGTTATGCCCCCACTTCGAAGAAGAGGGGGTATATTGCTTTGCACTTGTCGGTCCGTCGGTCCGTAGACCAAATGGTTTCCGAGTGATAACTAAAGAACCCTTAGGCCTAGGAACTTCAAACTTGGTATGGTGATTGGTTATGATCAGTAGATGACCCCTATTGATTTTGGGGTCAAGGGGTCAAAGGTTAAGGTCACATTGACCTTGTTAGCAAAAACGGTTTCCGATCAATAACTAAAGAACCTTTAGGCCTAGGAACTTCAAACTTAATATGGTGGTTGGCCATGATCAGCAGATGACCCCTATTGATTTTAGGGTTAAGGGGTCAAAGGTCAAGGTCACATTGACCTTGTAAGCAAAAACGGTTTCCGATCAATAACTAAAGAACCCTTAGGCCTAGGAACTTCAAACTTGGTATGGTGTTTGGTCATGATCAGTAGATGACCCCTATTGATTTTGGAATCAAGGGGTCAAAGGTCAAGGTCACATTGACCTTGTTAGGAAAAACGGTTTCCGATCAATAACTTAAGAACCCTTAGGCCTAGGAACTTCAAACTTGGTATGGTGATTGGTCATGATCAGTAGATGACCCCTATTGATTTTGGGGTCAAGGGGTCAAAGGTCAAGGTCACATTGACCTTGTAAGCAAAACGGTTTCCGATCAATAACTAAAGAACCCTTAGGCCTAGGAACTTCAAACTTGGTATGGTGATTGGTAATGACCAGCAGATGACCCCTATTGATTTTTGGGTCAAGGGGTCAAAGGTCAAGGTCACATTGACCCTGTAGGTAAAAACAGTTTCCGATCAATTAACATTAAACGCTTAGGTCTAGGAACTTAAAACTTTGTATGATGATTGTTCATGACCAGCAGATGACCCCTTTTGAGTTTTGGGTCAAGGGTTCAAAGGTCAAGGTCACATTGACCTTGTAAATAAAAACAGTTTCTGATCAATAACTACAGAACGCTTAGGCCTAGGAACTTCAAACTTGGTATGATGATTGGTCATGACCAGCAGATGACTCCTATTGATTTTGGGGTCAAGGGGTCAAAGGTCAAGGTCACATTGACCTTGTAGTTAAAAACGGTTTCCAATCAATAACTCAAGAACGCTTATGCCTAGAAACTTAATACTTGGTATGATGATTGGTCATTGCCAGCAGATGACCTATTGATTTTGGGGTCAAGGTGTCAACAACTTGGCTGTCATTAATGAGGCCTACATGATTCATAAAATTTATGCATATATTATTTGGTAAGATTTGTAATAACTGAAATTGCTGCACACAACCTATAGTGTCACAATTATTATTACCTTGTGACTAGTCATGACCAGTAGATACTAGATAACCCTTATTAATTGTTTGTTCACTGGGTCAGAAGTCAAACATAATAACCTAATCACATGACTAATTGGCTTCCGACAGGGGGCATACATGTTTTACAAACATATCTTGTTTTGTTGTAGACACACGCTGTCTCACAGCTCATATTCAAGCACTGGCCTCCGTCAAGAATGACCCCTCCCGATCCGACAAAAATGTTAAATTTTCTGGAAAACTTGGACACCCTACGGAGGCAGAATGATTGCAAACCAATTTTGGTGCAATGTTTGTGAGTTGTTATCTCAATTATATTTCTTTTTCTAACTATATAGCTATGTAGTTATAACATGAACTTGTTTTGTCTATCTTTGTTTGTTTGTTTGTTTGTTTGTTTGTTTGTTTGTTTGATTGATTGTTTGTTATGCAACACTTCGACATTCATATTTTTACTTAAATATCCTTTGCAGATTTTTCTATTTATAGTGTTTTTATGTTTTTAGTTGTCACAGACACGAATATCTAGATCTCTTGTAACAACACTGTTTTTTTAATCGGGTACAAATAAGATAGCCTTGAATTTTGATGCTCGGTCGTAAACAATTACCCCCGAGCTAGATATTCTGGTCTGTATCGGCAACCGTTTTAAGATTTTTTGTAAATCACTCCCTAAAAACAAGGTGTGTAACTTTAAAGGGACTGCACTCAGGTTTCTTGACATGATGGGACTGAAAATATTTTTATAGTTCTCTTCAGATGTGTTCATAGAATATAAAAACAACGTGATTTTTTCATAGGATTTTATATTTGTATACTATACGATTCAATCATCATGCGAGGTTTATCTAGATTTTAGCACACGACCTGTATTTTATCAGACACCTATATAGAACTGTTTGATAATTTATTTTCATTTCTTGTGAATTATATAAAGTAAATTGCGGATTCTTATATTTTTTGTACAATTTAGTAATGGTGCGGAACGTAGCGGTCTAGTTGTTGCCTTGATGAACATTCTAGAACAGTTAAAGTTTAACAAAGAGGTTTCAATCCCACTTGTGGTACGTCAACTGAAATGTAGACGTCAGCAAATCATCCCAAACTTTGTAAGTAATATAAATGAGCCGCGTCATGACAAAACCAACGTAATGCGTTTGCGACCAGCATGGATCCAGACCAGCCTGTGCATCCGTGCAGTCTGATAAGGATCCATGCTGTTCGCTATCAGATTCTCTACTTCCAATAGGGTTGGTAAGCGAACAGCATGGATCTTGATCAGACTGCGCGTATGCACAGGCTAGTCTGGATCCATGCTGGTCGCAAACGCATTATGTTGGTTTTGTCATGACGCGGCTCACATATGAATTGAAAAAGACATAAAGAGATACAGGAAATTGTGACCATCAAGGAAAGCAATCCTTGTATCCAGCAACACATTTTAAATAAAAACTGACACATAGGAATGGCAACTTATGTGCTTAACCTGTACCCTATTGAATAAGAAAGAAAAAGGCAAACAGGGAAGGACAGCATAGAAAGAGAACCACGCTCCCAAACACTAGTGTTTAGTTTGGTGCCCCTTCCCCTGACAATACGGTAAAAGCCTAATGTCCCTTCCCCTGACACTAATGTTTAGTTTAGAGTTCCTTCCCCTGACAAAACGAGAATGTCTGTAGAACTTTCCCTGAAAAAACAGAATGTAGTTTTTGAATTATTTGCCGTGACACTTTTTTACCGCAGAAACGGACTGCTTACATAGTTATTATTTGGTACAGACGCGAAGAAGAGACCAAAATAAACACCAGTTAGAAAAAACAATGCGTGTAACATACATCGAAAAGAAAAAAAAAACGTTTTAAGCGTTTTTTTACTTAGCTAGGAATTTAGCTGGTGTGAGGGGTTGGAGGTGGGTAAAGCATCTTATGGTGAACATGTTTGTTATGGAAGCAACTTCAAAAAAGAAACTCTGATCTAAAACACTGTTTACAACACGTTCGAACAAAGACACACGTTTCATTATCGTAGTAATATTTGGACGGACACCTAAGTAGAATCGATAACGTTACATAAGGTAACTGGATAACTTCCTCACATGATAAAAACGAAAGTCCCTGTCGGAATTTAAACCCACAACCGTAATACCCCAGTAATCTCAAGAAAACGGCCGTAACGGTTCCGGACGACCCTTCGTTTTGGAACTGAAATATGGTTTTCCTTGTTTTACATGTATTAGCTATTCACTTTTGAACTTAAAACTTGGGAAATATCATATTAAAACAGTATGTTAGTCATTACAGTTTAGGTAATGCAAATTCCTGGCGCCATTTGGATCACATTTATAGAAAGCTGTTAATAATTCTTTGCTTTACTAACAAATATAAGTCCAATTTTTATTTCTTCTTCATATTTCCTATTAGCAGTTAGACAATTCACTCAACACTTACATTAGTTATAACATGTTTTCCTGTAGCAAGGAAAGAAGAACAAGACGTCATGCATTAACATGCAAATATATTTTTGTGTTTTAAATCATAAGACTCAAATATTGATAGTTTTTTAAACGGAGAACTATATGTGCTTTGTACGAATGCAATTTTGTTTTCATAATCTGTTTTAGGCATAAATGATGAAGGAACTATAAAACAAACATTCTTTTTACTTAAATCAATAAATTGATACACATGATGTTTCTTCATAGGGTTTGATAAAAATAGATATTGTCATTAACACTCAGCAGGGAATATTTCTTGTTTGTTTCATATTGCAGGAACAGTTTACATTCTGCTACGACGTGGTTCTCTCCCATATTGAAAGCCATACAACCTACGCAAACATGTGACTTGAAAGTCAGGTGGACATTTAGCGGTTTTGAAATGACTCAGAGTTATTTTAGACATTATATGAAAAAAAAAGTTTTTATATACTTGCCTTTTGAATACTTCAACTTTATAATAATGTTTTTTTTTCTTATTGCGTATGTCTGCTTATTTTTTTTTATATTTAGATTATTCTGTCCTACTGTTTTTAGCTCACCTGTCACAAAGTGACAGGGTGAGCTTTTGTGATCGCTTTTCGTCCGGCGTCCGTCCGTCGTCCGTCCGTCCGTCCGCCCGTTAACTTTTACTTTAAATGACATCTCCTCATAAACCACTAAGCCAATTTCATCCCAACTTCACAGGAATGTCCATTGGTGGTCACCTTTAAAAATTGTTCAAAGAATTTAATTCCATGCAGAACTCTGGTTGCCATGGCAACCGAAAGAAAAAACTTTAAATATCTTCTTTTAAAAAACCATAAGAGCTAGAGCTTAGATATTTGGCATGAAACATCTTCTAGTGAGTGTCTACCAAGTTTGTTCAAATAAAAGCCCTGGGGTCAAAATTGGCCCCGCCCCGGGGGGTCATTGATTTTCCCTATATGCATATAGTAAAAACTTAAAAAATCTTCTTTTAAAGAATCCAAAGAGCTAGAGCTAAGATATTTGGCATGAAGCATGTTCTAATGGGTGTCTACCAAGTTTGTTCAAATAAAAGCCCTGGGGTCAAAATTGTCCCCGCCCGGGGGGGTCATTGATTTTCCCTATATGCATATAGTAAAAACTTAAAAAATCTTCTTTTAAAGTATTCAAAGAGCTATGGCTAAGATATTGAGCATCAAACATGTTCTAATAGGTGTCTACCAAGTTTGTTCAAATAAAAGCCCTGGGGTCAAAATTGGCCCCGCCCCAGGGGGTCATTGATTTTCCCTATATGCATATAGTAAAAACTTAAAAAATCTTCTTTTAAATAACCAAAAGAGTTAGAGCTAAGATATTTAGCATGAAACATGTTCTAATAAGTGTCTACCAAGTTTGTTCAAATAAAAGCCCTGGGGTTAAAATTGGCCCCGCCCCGGGGGGTCATTGATTTTCCCTATATGCATATAGTAAAAACTTAAAAAATCTTCTTTTAAAGAACTCAAAAAGCTATGGCAAAGATATTTAGCATCAAACATGTTCTAATAGGTGTCTACCAAGTTTGTTCAAATAAAAGACCTGGGGTCAAAATTGGCCCGGCCCCGGGGGTCATTGATTTTCTTTATATGTGTATAGCAAAAAGTCTTCTTTGAAAAAACCCAAATAGCTAGAGTTTAGATATTAAGCATGAAATATCTTCTTGTAAGTGTCTACAAAGTTTGTTCAAATAAAAGCCCTGGGGTCAAAACTGGCCCGGCCCAAGGGGTGTCATTGTTTTTAACTATATGTGTTTTAAAAACTTTAAAAAAATCTTCTTTTAAAAAGCCCAATGAGCTAGAGCTTAGATGTTTAGCATGAAACATCTTCTTATGGGTGTCTACCAAGTTTGTGCAAATAAAAGCCCTTGGGTTAAATTGGCCCTGCAACGTTGTGGGAGGGGGGTTGGGGGCTATATACAGGTGAGCGACCTCAGGGCCATCATGGCCCTCTTGTTTCTTCAACGCTTTTATTGTATTAATGTTTTATTTGAACATAGAGAGAATAATAAAATATACAGTACATTAAACTGATTTAAAGATATACTATGCTCAAAGTTGATATTTGAAAAATCAAAACAACAACTGATATTTACTATACAGCCTCTTTTGAAATGTAAAATTAACACACAGAGAAAATAAGTTACAATTTCAACTGTACATAATACAAGTAATAGCAGTATAGTTAAGTAGTGTCATTAAAATGGCAGTGTTTACCAAATTAATTTGACAAGCGATAGGAATGCAGCTTCCAAATATAGTTTATACGTTCACTTATTTAGATTATATATATTTAGGAAGTAGTTACTTGATTTCAAGCATGTCTGCAATGAAAGTATTTACCCAAAGAAGAGCATAGTTTATCTTTAAGTGTATCGCGTAACACAATAAGTTTAAAGAGTTTACTTTTAAAGATCATTTATAGCAAATAAATATGTTCCACATTTGATAACATTGTTACCAAGTCACAAAAGTCATGTGAAATTTGATGGAATTTGAATATGAAGGAATTTTCCCGTAATATATATATATATATATATTTGACGTTAAATATATCATTTATAAACCATTTTATCCACATTCCACATATATTTCGTTTTGTATTAAATTCATCTTTTCATTACTATATCAAAAACACAACAAAATGCTAAAACTGATAGAAGATTATCTTTTTTTTTCATGGTCAAATTATCGATTTAAATATGTCTTTCAAACTAAAGAAATATGTCATCTTAGGTATAATCTTCGCACCGCCCGAAAGCAAAAGGTGGAAAAACAAAACTTTGATAGTTTTAGACAAATTACTACTACAAACAAATATTCAAAACTTATTGGACACTCCTTATTTTGTAAAATGTATTTATTATATTTATCTGAATTTCATACTAGGCTTTGAAAATGTAATAAAATGAATAAAACCCTTCAGTGTCTTTTTATATTCTGAAAATATAAGAATTTACATACACAAATGCGACACCTTCGCACTTCAAAATTAATCTGACATCGACGTTTGAATGCTAGTATGGAGGGTGTTCGTGGCCTCAGTTTCAGACATGTAAAGTGTGACATTTGAAAAGTAGTTTTGAAAATGTTAACGTGTATGCCTAACATTTTTGACTGTATCCGTGTACTGCAAATAATCTGCCTCTTAATCCAATCTTTCAATCGAAGGTTCCCGCTTTTAAATAACAAGTTTACATGTGATCAAAACTGACCTTATATTAAAAAAAACCAAACAAACAAATTTACATTTTCGTATCTTCCACTGCATATATTAATTTAGCAGGTATGCAGACTCACAGCATGGGACATGACAAATGTATTTATTACATTGAGAAAATAGCGTTTAAGAAACGTGTTTCCAGTTGCAGAGCTCAAAGGACACGTTAACACAATAAAATGTTAAACAAGACAAAGTAGATTCACAAAGTTAAACGATTTTAAGGCATGCATGACACACGCCCCTATTTGACCTAGTATTTACGGAAGCGTAATTTTATCAGAATCAATCACCAGTAACTGTTTCTAAAAAGGATTTTACCCGACTTTGATAGTAATGCAAGAGACTGGATAGTGTAGAAAATGCTCTGAGTTAAAAGAGGCAAGTTACTGTCATTATTCCATGTTAGAGTTATTGGTCTTAGACAGTTAACTCATATGATGCTTGAAGGTTCAAATATTTCCATTTGGCGATACCAACTTGCATGCAAAATCTTAACAAAAAAGAGTGACGGCGACACCGACGCCTGGTCCAGTACAAAATGTCTAACTTTTCTTTAAATAGTCGAGCTAAAAACGTAATGATGCTTTCAACAAATAAAAAGATACTAAAAACCATTTTGAGAAGGGCATACAACTGTATGTATTTAGTGGCTTGTAAGTATTTTTAAAGCGTATGCGTGTTTGCTGTGGCAACATAAATATTGTAAAATATAACGCAATATTTGAACAGAAATAAAACAGAAAGACTAAACGACACATTATTTTTTTATACTTTATTTACATCCATTATTTACAATTGGCCCTGCTGTGACCCATCCCCACAGGCGCAATTTTTATACACAATACAAGAATGCATGCGCATACATATTAAATGCAGACTGTCAAAAATTTTGAAAGTTCAACTTTGCCGTCGAAATCGTCTTTATTTACATAAAACAACGTTTCTGCTATAGATTTAGAGCGATTTTTTGAAAACAGAGAGTTTCGTTTGCAAAGAACTAACCTTAACAACGGTAGGTTGACTGCCTCGGGATTGTCAATTTCAAGAAATATTTCCTGGTTAAAGAACATCAGGTTCTTACCTTTAGAATGTTTTGAACATTTTTTCTTCACATGGTCTGTTAAAGTCAAATAAACTTTTACGAAAATTGAAGATCCTCTGTTGACACCATGGACATTTTCCATCATATGAATTCCTTCCAAACTTAGTTTCAGCTTGTTTGAGGATGCAAGATACTCTATCCCGAAATTAATAGTGCCTAAAACCTTAGACTTGTCCAATATTTTCACGCTCTTATCTGCAAATTTCGGAGAAATCGCCGGAGATATACCTCCCAAATTTTGTTTTTCTTGCTTATTCAATCTCATTTGTTTACCAGGAATAGGACTCTTGATGTATTGTTTTTGCTCGGGTGTTGCCTCTTCGGTTTCTTTGATCCTGCGTGTTGTTTTAGAAAACTTGCTGTTTTCATCAAAACATAAGGAATGATCACTTGCCTTTTCGGACTTGGTAAAATTGGGTTGAAATGTGTCCATAAAATCTTCACAGTAAAGTGTTTGCAGCGACTTTGAATCTGTCAATTTTGTGTTTGCTTCTTTGAATTTTCGTGGCATTAGATCTGAATTTGCTCTTAAATAACTTGTTTTTTCACGTGCATCTTTAGCAGCACTGTTCGATGAAACCCATCTGTAAACGTTGTCACTTGTACTTTCATTTGTTTTGCCATCCCGCTCAAAACTGTCACACCCAATAACAAAAGACCTGTAGTTCCTCGAGTCAAGACGTTCGTTGTCTTTTAAAATACTGTCGTCGTTCAGTTTTCTGTTTATTTTAGTATCAAAACCAAAATGATGTACTGCTGGTGTACCTGGTGGTTTATTATCTATATTTCCTCTTTCGGATGTAAACTGTATTTTGTTTGAGTACAACTCTCTATACCTGTTCCTTACGCTTCTTCGACGATCCTGTCTGTCATCAGTAACGAAAAGTATTTTTCGTCTTAAGTCACTTATGGCACCTTCCCCTTTCTCTGCAATATCATTTATAAAATCTGAAACTGAAGATCTGGCACCAGATAGAAATGTATCCACTGAACTTGACCTACTACCTCTTTGTCCTGCAGATGATCTGTCAGACTTTCTTCTTTCAGTGTTGGACTGTGGCAGAATTGTTTGCCCAAACATTGAACTTGTATTTTCAGCTCGCATTTGTCCTTTAGTTATAAACCTTTTCATAACTACAACGGCTTCAGTAAATTTAACAAAATTTTTGCTAAGACTCCACTCTAAGATCTAGTGTAAGTAAATACCGCTGTCTATATCATGAAGACGTTCGTGAATTGATACATATATAGTCAGACAGGATTGGTTTGTTTACGTCATATATTTGCGTGCGCACAGTTTTTTTCTACGTGTTTATTAAAGAAAGAAAAGTTGGGAATTATATTTCTAGACAGTTACAATTCCGTGATTCTCAAGATTCTTAAGAATAAAAGAAATGATAAAAGAAATAAGAATAGTAAAAACAAGATCAGCAAGGAAAGGCGGCGCTCAATGAACGTTAAATTTTCAATTAATTCAACTTAGCTAATTGGCGTTTGAAGGCAGCAGAAAGGATTACACATAATTATAAAATAGTTATTGCAAGATTATGGCTTTGAGTATATAAGCTTTATATCACACTAAAAAGTTTGAAAATGATAATTGTTAGGGAGCACGCAGCGGGAGCGAAATCGCGCACTCACTCCGATATTTGCTGTTTAGCATATTCACAAACACACTTTTGTTTTATACCTTTTAAGTTAACAGAATGCAATGTTTGAGTTTTTATAATAGCACAGGAAACATATGCACCTACAAAAATTAACGTCAGACGTTGAATGTTTACGAAAACGATGTGCAAACAAATGTAATACAAGCTTTTGAACATCGTGTGAGGTAAAGGTTAAAATGAGCGTGAATTACGTATGTGGTTATAACTTGTATATTCGAATAACCAACTACCTACTATTTAACAGCTAGAAGGTGGTATTTCAATCCATTATCTTCATCAGAATGAATGTTCAACCAAAGTAAATTTCTGAATAAACACAGAATAAAGACTTTAATCACAAATTATCTAGCGCTATATTTCCAAGTTTAAAAGCATAGCAATTGCTTTAAATCCATTATTACAACATTATGCAAAGACCAAATAACCAACTACCTTTTGTTAAGTAGTTGGAGATCTAGGCAAATAACCTATAGAGTCATCCATCTGGTGAATATAGGGAGAAGATAGTGTTACAATGTAGAGTAGATAGAATAATTTTGACGTGGAAGGCCATTTGAAACATGAAGCAGAATTCTTGTAGCAATGCGTATAGAAAATGCTTGATATTTACATATCATTTATATAATAATCATTTAAAGTTGATTGGTCAACAATGGGCAAATGTTCCATAAGTATTTGAAACATTGATAAAACATTTGGATATTCTAATAAAAATGGCTTGATAAAAAACGTTTATCGAGTTCTCAGTTATTTAATATGGATTTTTATATATATGATGAATAATAAATGACATTTAGTTCTAGAACATTTTATTATTTGCTTTATAAATATATATTTATCTCACACTTGCAAATAATAATAACTATAAGCAGAAGAATAATGGGAAGAAAGAAAAGAGAAGGAGAAGAAAATAGACACTAATAAATAGAGAAAATCATATTCCCTAAAGAAAGCCCAACACGGCAAAATTGTAAAATGTTGCAGGCTCCGTTTGATTAAGCCTGTTCAAAGACGGTACTTGAAAGTGCAAGTTACCGTCCACGCCCCCTAGCAATAAGATGAAGTACGAGGTATTTTTACAGTTGAAACATAGTACTTAGCATATGTTTATTTTGGGGATGAACAAAGACAAATCATGCTTAATAAATAAAACATGTTGATTAGACACTACTGAAGAATTAAACATGTTAGCGGATGGTATCAAAAAAAAGAAATCTATCTAATATATTTCTGGCATTAATGGCAAAGAAAGAGCGGTAGCTATAAAAATATCTGTCATTGTCTATTCCCATTCCCAAGTTTGGGTGACGTAGACCATGTAATACAGTTGCAATTTCACAATTAAACATCATTTTCTAAAACATGCCAGCAATCTGTAATTTCAGGATAATTATAGAGATATAATAATTTTAAAATAACTGCACTATGATTATGTGAGATAATGCAGAATGGGTTTATTTAATTTCAAACAACATTCGTGTTTTGTGTGATAATCATACTTTAAGTTGGCCTAAGAAAGTTGATTTTGATTAATTTTCAAAAGTCTTTGGTAGCTTCTGAAGTATGCGCAAATAATTACAAAGATGGGGATAAGGTTGCGTTCTTACAATTTTATCTCAGAAGGAAAGAACAAAATGTTTTAGTTTAGGGAGGCACTGGTTTCAAATTAACAATTTTACAACCTTTCGGTAGGAAGTATCTAAAGAATTCATTAAGGTATAACTTGTATATCATCTTCAGATTTACATTTAGATTAAACAAGCTGCTATCCCACGTAAAACGGGTCTAAAAGACATCAACATATTTGTTTCCAGTTATCAAATATGCATAGAAGTAAAAATTGTAGTTTCCATGAGATAACTGTTTCACTTGACACAGATATAAACACCCCTATTATCACACCCTTGAACATGTAGCGAGTAGGACAG